AGTGAAGAGAGCCTTAAGCTATTGAGGCGCAAAGCAAAGTGACGTAACAATACCCACTTATCTAATATAAACAGGGGTGTGAAGTAACGAATTACAAATACTCACGTTACAGAAATTAAGTAGTTTTTATCAGTAATTGTACTTTTTTGAGTAGTTTAAAAATTGTGTACTTTTACTTGAGTACATTTTAAGAGATGTATCGGTACTTTTACTCTGCTATTTTCCTCCGTTTGTGGTCGTTACATGCTTATTTTAATTTTACTTTTATCCATCAACGTGATTGGATAGAGAGTAATCGGTCTCGTGACTTTCGCCAAATCAAATTGTGCATAGAAAACTTTAACCGCCAACTGTTTTTCATGGCTGCTGTAAGTGCATTCTTCAAGCATCAATTCAGTCGCATCTTCCTCTAACTTAATATGTTAAGGTACATTTCGGATTTCTGCTTACTAAATGATTTGTATATATGCTTGCCTATCTACACGGCCTGCAATTTGGTGTGAGGCTGCAGTTATTGCATAAAGTGTTAACTCCCACAAGTACCACGTTCGGTAAATTCCCCACTCACTTATGAGACGCGCGATCTGCGCTGCCTCGTCTCTCTCTCGCGTGCGTTCTGCAGCAGTCACTTGGATAAGTTGTTGTTGCTTGTTGAACTTGTTGACTTCTGATGAGTTTGAGCGCGTGATGCGCGCTGTGAAAAAGTGTGTTGGAAACACAAATTGAGGACCAAATCTGCACCTTATTGATGACCGGTGGCATTAATATACTGCATCTGTGCCAGCGCGTGATGTAATAAAACTGCAGCTCATTAATAAACAGGTTTTTTTTATATCCATTTTATACAATCCGCCTTCATTTAGCAAGTGCACTCGCGCAAAAACTATTTTCAAGTTCAGCACTTTTTTTCCGTTCAGTTGTGGATGCTGCTGATTCACCGAGACCGCCATGACTCAGCAAAGAGTGTGTGTGTGTGTGTTTTCCTTTGAAAAGGTTTCCCCAGAAATGCCTCGCTATTTAATGCATTTTCCTTACAAATTGTATGATCAGCATAACAATTCGAGTAAATGTCTAAAAGGTGTGGCATGAATTTGCCATCCTTCTAGAACAATGTGCATTTATGTTAAAATTGTAATTATCAAGTTTAGTTATTTTTATTTCTTTATTGCAAAACGCTAAATCTGGCACCGTTTCGGAGAGAAATGGGCTCTCATTTTAACCCATATCATGGTGTGTGATGCTGAACTATGCATTTCTCATGGTGTGTGTATTTGCACTGTTCTAAACATTAATATTTTATGTGCAACAACAGCATGCTGTCTCGGTGGCCTTACACATGATTTTAAATCTATTTTTTCAAACTTTGATTTAAATGGGGATGATTGTACTGAGAATAACTTTCATCTTTTCTTCAACTGAATACTGTTTCCGTGCTGTTTTGATGTATTTTAAAGAGTTGGCAATCAAAATTAAAACTGCTGGATGATAGATACTCTTCATTCTTTATGACAAATAAGATCATGTGAATTACAGAATGTACAACGTTTTTAAAATGTATCAATTGCAGTGTACAGCGTTTATTATGAGGGGGTAGAATCCACAGCTCAGTACTCACTACTCAATACTCATGAGCACTTTTAAATAGGCTACTCTTTTACTCTTACTCAAGTAGTTTTTTGGACAAGTACTTTTACTCTACTCACACTACATTTTTTGGAAGGTAATGTTACTTTTACTTGAGTATATTTTTTCAATACTCTTTCCACCACTGAATATAAAGTAGAAGCATTCATTGATTGGGGTTGATCTTTATGCTCCATGGAAGCCCGTATTGGAGCAGCATTCCAAAAGTTATGCTGCATTCACGCCATGTCGTAATTACTGTGGTTTCAAGATAACAACACGTGATGTTCTTGGAGCCGTTCACACCCTTGGACTCTGAACTATCGCACTATCAACACCTAAACATGAGTTGTAATTACGAGTTCTATGAGGACGTGAACACTTTTTACAAGTTGGTATCTCGTAATCAGCGTAATTACGATATGGCGTGAACGCACCTTTATTTTCAAAGAGGTGAGAAAAATCCGAGGACAAAGTAGTCTGGAACCCAGCATAAGTGTACATCTGGTGGAAAATTTACTGTCCCATAAGACCATAAGAGAGGAGTTATGAATGACAATGAAGTGATGCAAATGACACTGCAAGTCACATGACAACATAACAGATGTTGCTCTTCATCAAATGCAGTAAATCAGAAATTATGCAATTTTGTGCTATGTATGCTATATTTTGTGTTGATTTTTTCTATGGTGAATGCAATTTTTCTGCTATTCAAGTATGAAATGGGGAGATTTTTATCAGTCTCACAAGAGTCACACTCGTTGATGTTGTTTCAAATATTATTTGTCCATCTGCAAAAGTCCAAAAGTTATCAGAGCCATACAGATGAACAGCAGAATCACAAGTGTGATAAATTATACAACATTTCAATAAACAATAGATTCATACGGAGTGACTTACAACTTTGACACGATATCACGGGTTACTTTGTCTATTTTTGCTCCGCCAAAATAAATAATTTCAAAGAAAGACGCCGCAGGAGCAAAATGTAGTGGCGTTTTATTGCCGAATAAATCAGTATATTTGAACAAATCAAATGAGTGAACAATTCAATGTCACATGATTCAATGACTGAATGCTCAAATATAGACAAAGCTGAGTGATATGAAAAGTTCCTCCACAGCATTTCAAATTTCAGGACCCTAACTAATAATTGTTCGAAATTATTTCAACTACTTACAATTCGCCTGCTTCATATAACACTACTACTTAAAATAAAAAATTAAATTGTCTGAGAAATTATCATTTACAGTCATTGTTAAAGGTCAGGCAACTAAACAAAGGGAGAAAAACTATCTGAAAAATTTTATTTTATTCCTGACATTATCAGAGCTGTTACCATGTTTCCTTAGATATCTCCCATTCAATACATTTGTCCAGTTTTAATAGAGTTCAGCATAGAGGTAGTCAGGACGAGACCAACAAACCTTTATTTCTGTCAAAACGTTATAAAACAGCCTCTTTCTCATTCCACTAAGGAGTTTTTAAATAACAGTTTATCCTAGAAAAGTCCAACCTCAAGAGAAGAACGATGTTTCCTGAAATTTAATTAATAGACAGCATCGCTAATTAACAAGACCGTATTCACCGCCATCTTGTATTTAAAGTGTACACGATCAGCTTGCTACTCTAGCATTCATATCCAGCATTACAAACTCTGGAAGGTGAAGCACTCATTGTCACAAATTAACGAACACTGGTAGATACTGTAGGTCACCTTAGTATTGAGGCAGAAGACAAGGGAGAAAAACAAGCAGAGGGTGGTGATGTCACCCTTACCTGGAACAATGGATGCCGCTATTGTTCCCCAGACCACTCACTGGTCTGAAGGACACCGCTTCAAAATGGGACACTTTTTAGAGTCTTCCATGGCTGCAAGCGCTTGCTTTAGTCTGTCCAGACTGTGACACCTCTTTTGAAGATAAAACAACTGGCACAAAAGAAGCCTGTCACTTCTTTTCCCCTCCATTTTTGTTGCATCTAAAATATGCCAGAAGAATCAGTAGAAGAAAAAAAGAAATCAATAATCCCTAGGTCCTTCATCCACCCTTCAAAAAGAAAGGTGTATACATTTTTTTTATCATTGATTCCACTCAAAGACTTTGACCTATACAACAAACAGAGATCCTGTGAAACTGAGAAAAACTTATGAGTGGGTAATAAACAGGAAGAAAATCCTTTCCCATAAGTCTCCTTTAAAAGACAATGGGCCTTCCCTACACACATTTCTACGTGTTGCAATTTTTAGACAGCAGTTTAAGGCGACAGTAAATATGTAAGTACCAAGTCTAAAAAGGGACATTTAATTAAGATTCATGAATGAATTTGGTGTAAAACTGAATTTGACATGGTGCTAGAGGAGGGTATAAGGATGGATAACTCAGAACAGACAAACCATTAAAGGTCCCATGACATGCTGCTTTTTAGATGCTTTTATATAGGCCTAAGTGGTCCCTAGTACTGTATCTGAAGTCTCTTTCCCGAAATTCAGCCTTGCTGCAGAATTCCAGCCACAACGAGCCAGTCCCACAATGAGCTTTCCTTAGGACGTGCCATTTCTGTGTCTGTAGCTTTAAATGCTAATGAGGAGGAGAGAGGTGGGGCAACTGTCATGCTTCGTTCGTTTGCAAGCCATGATGTCTCTCCAGGAAAAAAAAATATTGCACTCGCCTCGCACGGTAGTAGCTAATTTTCTCATGGGTGGGCCAAATTCTCTGGGCGGGCAAAGCAGAGAAAGGGGAGGTAATCTTTCCCCGTATGACGACATAAAGGGAAGATTCCAGATTGGGCCATCTGAGCTTTCATTTTCTCAAAGGCTAAGCAGGATACCCAGGGCTCGGTTTACACCTATCGCCATTTCTAGCCACTGGGGGACCATAGGCAGGCTAGGTGAACTCATATTAATGTTAAAAAACCTCATGAAATGAAATTTTCATGACATGGGACCTTTAACATTCTTTAATTGTTCTTCATCTCATTTCCTCTAATGAATTTGTATTGTTATATTTCACATTAATGTACTTCAAAGATCTTCTACTGCCTATTTGCAGTTCATTTATCCCCACCTAAAATTAAAGCCTCAGAGCTGGCTATTGCAAGTATGGCTAATGCAATTCAAATGACATCTTAATGCAGACAAAAAAAAAAAAGGGTTTTTTTTTTTTTGAAAACAATACGCGGTTATAAAATTAACCAAAATTAAAGCCTCAGAGCTGGCTATTGCAAGTATGGCTAATGCAATTCAAATGACATCTTAATGCAAAAAAAAAAAAAAAAAGGGCTTTTTTTTTTTTTAGATAGCATGCTGGATTATGAAATTAATCAAACAGTCTTCATTATAAAGAAGTGTAACTTTAATTTTCTGGGAATTAATCAAAGGTAATTTAATAAATGGGATTAAATTTTTCACAAAAGGGATGCCTAAACACCGGCAAAACCAGTAACTATCTTACTCTTCTATGCTTTTTTGTTTATAGAGTAAATTACATAAAGCAGATTTTTGCAATTTGGAAGAATAAATCTTCTTTATTTCTACAAAATATAATGAGACAATTAAGAAAAAAAATATATGACTGCTTCTGCTTTTTAGTGACTAAATGCTTTTAGTGCTCATTAGTGACTATAGTAACCATTAAACTAGAGTGTGGACAAAACATGAACTGTGTAAACTGTCTTTGAACATGTTTGTTCTTAAACATGAGATATTGTGAACAAAATTTCCAAGATGCCGCTCTTTTGTGTTATTTTATGTACAAGTGTTTCAGTGTTTAAAAACTGTCTGATAAACAAAAACTAAATTCAAAAAGTCACAAGATAAAAATAGAACGTTTAAAAGGCTACACATTTTAGCACATTTAATTCATTTGGCATTTCACTCACACAGTAATTAATGAAAGCTCACAAAATAAACGAAGCAAAATTGAAGAAACACTGAATAAATAATTAAACACTAAAGTGTGTCTGTGCATGCTTGCCGTAGAGAAGCCTTCAGTACAGAAAGGTACCAAAACTTCCCTTTCCATTGTGCTTAAACTGATTTCCATGAATGGAAATGAACATTTCCTGTGAGAGTAGATTCTCATCAGCCTGCATGGCCCCTAGTGCTTTCATCCGGCTCTTCTGAAGCCTGTGTTTCTTGGCCGATGTGGCAACCAACTCTTGTTTGATGGCATCATTTCCCTCAGTGAAGTCTGGAGGGACTGAGTGACCATGTTGGATGGCTGGGCACTCTTCCTCCACAACAATGACAGGCACATTATCATCATCATCATCATCTATATCAGCCTCTGATTTTACTCCTGTGTCCTCAGATTCTTCCTCTTTCTCATCTGACAAAACAGAAGATGCACACAACAGGCTTCAGATTAGATTAGATTTTAGTTAGCATTTTTAATCTAAAACCCCAAAACTTAAAGGAAACAGTAAATCATTACTAGAGAAGCCTCGGTGCAAATATAATTTAAACAAATAGATTAATCTCAGTTGTGACACAGGAACAGTTCAGAAGCAGTCGTACTGTTTGAAACAACATGAGGAAGAGTAAATGACAATTATTCCTTTAATTCCTGACTAGAAAGCAGGAAGTACAGACTCATGCACCTAAATGTCTCAGGTTCGCATATAACCATGGTTCCCCAAGAGGGAACGAGATGCTGCGTCCTCTAGCGGACACTATGGGGACTGCCGCCAACAGGACCGGTGCTTGAAGCACGTGTGAAATAACTCCAATCACGTAGCCCGTGATGTCACAGGCGGGCACCCAGTATAAGAGGGTGCCTGCAGAACACTTCCCCAACTTAGTTGTCTGAAGGAGATGTGAAACAGGCAGGCCGAAGGCATGGTGAGGGGACGCAACGTCTGGGAACCATGGTTACATGCGTAACCCGAAAAGTTCCCCTTCTAGGGAACTCGAGCTGCATCCTTTAGCGGACACTATGAGAAATGAACTGCCAACTATACCATGCCGTGGCACATGCCTGTCCACCTGGTGAGAGAGCACCAAGGAAGTGACAGACATACACCTAACCTTTCCTCAGAAAGGGGCTAAGCTACTGACGCCCCGGGCCGCTCATACAGCTTGGCAGAAATGGGAAACACAGATTCAGATGAAGTTAAGAACACAGCTACCCTAAGATAACTATGTTATGTGAGCAACACGTTAGCATGACAATACAGGGACCACAGTGTAGGATCTGTCTCACAACAGACCCACCTACATGATGGAGACACACACATCAAACCAGCACATTCCATGGAAGGTTTTTGAGGTTCGTTTCTCCAGCCATCTGTAGTCGTAAAACTCATGCTCCATCGAGTAAGGTGAAGCATTCCCTGGACTGTTTGGCTATATCTCAAGATAAGCTAAAAAGGACAGTACTTTAACGTGCTTAAAATGGTTTTACGGGCTTGCAAAGAGCAGATAGAAATACCATCATGACCAGTGGACGCATAAATTGCTAAACTCCGATCAACAAAAGAGACAATTTTATAGCTCCCTGTCCCGCAGGAGATTTTCCAGCAGATGCCCAGAGCTGACCTGTACGTGATCGAGGGACTCGCCCCTTTTCCCCCGCATTCCAAGGAAAGAGACAAGATGTCGTTTGACAATCGTTGCTAATAATTGAAAGTATAAAATGATCAGAGCATAGAATCACAAATAGTAGGTTGTATGTTGTATATATATGCTTGACGTGTTTCATGTAATCGGTGCAACTTTAACCAGTGTTTAATTACCCCTTTTTAGGAAATAAGGATATTAAAACTGTGTAATATGTGAAGTTTAATCTTGAACGAATGAAAACCAGAAATGCAGAAGGTTGAAATGAAGTAGACTTTAATAGTATGTACAATATTTGCATTTAAGAGACTTTATAGGTGGCCTCATATAAATGAGAGTCTCTGGTTAATGTATGCACACTCCGCCCCTTAAGAAGTCGATTGGAAGCCAGCGTCAGGGGACGGACTTATGCCACAGAGCAAAACCCGAATGCAGAACAGAATCCAGGGGTTTTTGGTTAGCTAGCTGGCTTGCAACTTCTCCGGCTCTCGCTGGTCGCTGTGTTAGAGCACCTGCACGCGTGCTCACATTTACCATCAAAAGCGACCAGCAAACTAAAACTCAACACTTCAGTGATACTTCGTTGAAATCGTCAACAAACTTGAAAGTCTAAGACTCTCAGCAGATTGCTTGCGCCTCTGCGTCATCACAAACTAACGAGGGGTTCCCCAAAGGACATCATACTGACGTCACCGACCCGTCAGTGACGGGGTTTCCCTCAAAGACCTCCAGGAAGCCCGCAGCAACCACGGAGTCACCTCAGCTGTCAACCAGCGGAACGCAAGTAAACAACATTTCTATGATCTGCTGAACGGGTGAATTTAAATGCTTTGCTCTGTGAATTCTTAAGGTGAATTCCCATCCCTCGTGAAAACGAGAGGGAACTATGAAAATCAGAATTCCGTTAACAGACTTTCCTTCCTCTGCACTGTATGTTTGTGTGTTTTAGCTTAAGTTTATGTGATCTAGAATAGCCAATAAATTTCATGTTTCATTTATAACTAATCAATTGTCTGGGTCATATAATTTCGTGTCAATTCTATTGCCAAAAGATCCTTGCTTGTTACCTTAGCTCGTAGCTTACGCATAATAATTACCTCTCTTTCAAGAGCTGACAAATCATCAAATTTGGTATTTCACCCGTGGCCAGGGAGAATACAAAAATTACATATTCAATTGGTAATATACACTGACATCAGCTTCTCGCTGGCCGAGTAGCTGATAAAAGTATAAACTATTGAAAGTCAAAGTCAGTTTTGATCAGGTGGACCTCGAATTCTCAGATCGAGTTCTTTTAAAACCTGAGCTAGAAATAAACCTGAATGAATTAATAATGATTAATTCCCTTACAACTAAGTAAATTATTACAACAGACAGATGCTACCTACTTAGAAACACTAACAGGGGGATAGCAGTCTAAATAGGGGCTCCAGAGGACCACTACTTAAAAACCCTAATAAGGGGAGTAGTCACCAAGCAAGAAAACAGCTATCCTCCAAAGGTCCTAACTGAGGTTTGCCAAGATCACAGAGATTGGGCTATCTACATAAAACCCTAAAAGGGGAGACAGCACAGTCTAGGCAAGGGGCTCAAGGAGACCACTACTTAAATACTCTAATAAGGGGATTAGTCGCTGAGCTGGAACACAGCTATCCTCAAATAGCAATTTCCTCATGCAAGGCTGAAGATTGCCCAGACCACAGAAAGTGGGCTATATACTTAAAACCTTAACAGGGGAGATAACACAATCCAGGCAAGAGGCTCAAAGGCCGCTACTTAAAACCCTGACAAGGGGGCAGTACTGAGCTGAAACACGGCTATCCTCAGATAGCTATCTTCCAAGGCAAGGACTCAGTGCCTACTTGAGAGGGCTTGTGCCAAGAGGAACCCAACGTAGTTAAAGAAGCCAGGCTGGAGCACAGCTGCCCTCAGACCGCTATATTCCAGAGCAAAGTAAGTTTGTGCTGGAGCATAACTATCCGCAGACAGCTACACTATGAGCAGGGGCTGTCCACTTAAAAGCCCTGAGGAGGGGGAACAGTCTACTCAGCCCAAACTTAATATGTGGGATTCAGAGGGACCACCAACTTAAAAATACCCTGAGACCTGGGGAGGCAGCCCACTCCTAAACCCATCCGACTTAACACAGGAAGGGACATTCCCCAAAATTAAGCTAGGACTACAGCTGTCCTCAAACAACGAATGTTCCAAAAGCAATGTGCCATCCACTTGAAAAACCCTAACAAAGGGGGGAAAGCCCATACCTAGCATGTGGGTGTGATAACGACCCGAGCAGTCACAAGGAGGATAAATAGCGAAGTTGGGGTCCAAAGGGTTTGTTTAGGTTTAAGAGCTTAAAACAAAGATTGTAATAAAAACCGTCTAAAACTAGAACTGCAAGTACTAAAAACAGTACCAACTCCCCTCTACAACATTGAGGCTGGAGTTTCACATGCTACACAGCACTACAATCTTGTTCCAAGCACTCTATCCGTCCACCCCCTACTACTAGTGGCGGCCATCTTAAATACAAATTTTTTTTCCCGCTCTCCCCAAATTGGAACATACCAATTTTTTTATAAAAGACTCTTGACTTATTTGAGTCTTATGATATACATGATATTTAGAAAAAAGAATTTAAGTAAATAAATGCAGCTAATAATACAATTAAAATACAATTAAAAAAAGAATGGATAAACCAAAACATTTGCACAAATATTTACATTAGTTAAGCGGAGCGCTTTTTCTTAGTTTGCACTTCCTATTGCCATGCCCACTTAGCTAGACAAAGAAATGCAAACAAGCAACCAACATTAACACTGAAAACAGTGAAGAAGACAATTTCAAAGTTTCTCCATTCAGGGGGACCACCTGCTTGGAAGAGATCCTGAAATCAGGGGAGGCTGCCCAACCTTACTACCCAGGCTGGGAAAATGCTCTGGAGGGGGAGCGAGGTATCATCTTCTGTGCTCGACTCGACTGTTATTTGTATAGCACATTTAAAACAGCCACAAGACTGACCAAACTGCATTTGAGTAAGAAATAGCATCATAAAATTAGGAACTGCAACCAGAAAAGAAAAACACAAAATAGGAAATACAATAGGCAAAAATATAATTCCTAATAGGCCAATGAAAACAAGTGAGTTTTTAAAAGAGACTTAAAAATCAGGCTAGGAGCCGATTTGATCTCAACCAGCAAGTCATTCCAAAGGCGAGGCCCAATTACTGAGAAGGCACGGTCACCTCTACACTTGAATCTGGAAAGCGGAATTAAAAGAAGGTTCTGGTCACAAGATCTTAGACTTCTCGAGGTGATATACTGATGCAGTAATTCAGATAAATAGATGGGTGCTTGATTGTGCAGAGATTTAAAAACAATTAATAAGACTTTACAATATATTCTAAATTGAACAGGCAGCCAATGAAGGGCCTTCAAGCGCGGAGTGACGTGATCCTTTTTTTCTTTTTTTGAAATAAATCAGGCAGAGTCCTGGACCAACTGAAGACGGGCAATTTGAGCTTTGGAGATGCCACAGTATAAATAGTTACAATAATCAAGACGCAATGTAATAAATGCATGAACAGCCATCTTTAAAGTCTCGTCAGTGAGACAGTATTTAATTTTTTCAAGTGTACGGAGCTGATGAAAATGAAATCCAATCACACTGGAAATTTGTTTATCGAATTTTAGCAAGTCATCTAAAAGAACACCCAGATTCCGTACCTGCGAGGATCTAAAAGCCAAGATTAAAGTCCTTCATAATTTCTG